CAAACCAACATGCTTCATAGAATGTTCAGGTCCATCTTAGCCTAGGAGATCTGGCTACTCTCATTTGATAGAATGATTTGGGTTAAGCATAGAGAATACTGATTTTTTAAAATGGGCTGACAAGATGGCTCATTGAGTAGACAGCTTGCAGTGAAAGCCTGCCAATCTGAGTTCTATCCCCAGAACCTGAGTAACAAAGTTAGTTGTCCTCTGATCTCCATGTGTGCATCATGACATGCACATGTCCCTACACACATCATACATGTGAACAATGCTAAATGAAACTTTAGGGTTGGTAGATAAGTAGCTAAAGGCACTTGTTACCAAGCCTGAGGACCTGAGTTTGAACCCCAGAAGCCAGATAATAAAAGGATAAAACCTGCTTCTGCAGGCTATCCTCTGCAGTGGCACATACACACACACACACACACACACATACACACACACTCATGAATCCACAAGCACATGCACATATTTAAATATATATGGTAGGGCTAGATAGATAAGGCTCAGCAGTTAAGAGCAATGACTGTTCTTGAGTTCAATTCCCAGCAACCACATGGTAGCTCACAACCATCTGTAATGGGATCTGATGCCCCTTTCTGGTGTGTCTGAAGATAGCTACAGTGTACTCATATGCATTAAATAAATAAATAAATAAATAAATACATCTTTTAGAAAAGAAATAAAAAATAAATTGTAATAAACTGTTTTTGTAATGTGTATGAATTAACTCTAAATTAATGTTTCTGTTACATTTGCTTCATTAAGGCGCCACAAAACAATCCATGCAAACACCACACTTCAAATCTGTCCACAGTTGACTACAGAGAGGACATTATCTAAGCTGCTCAGGTTTGCCCTAAAACATTTCTATTCCAACTTCCACTGAAAATTGTCACCTTATGGAATGATAATCTCTCTGGCTTAACCAATCGAGTTACTTCCCCGAGTCTCCTGTAGAGCTTTGGAAAGGAGAGCACCATCCCACTGTGGGTAAGTGAATGAACTTAAAGCCAAGACTTCAAGACTTGTGGCTACTCAAAGTGAAAGTAAAGATGTGTAAGAAAGGGTGACACATGCGTGACACATTCATGACACATGTGTGACACACTACAGTTTCCATGGCAAGAGGTTTTTGTTTTTTTAATTCTATCTTTTTGTATTTTCTTTGGGCTGGGAGGTTGCGGGGCGGGGGGGGGGATACAAGGAGAGGGGGAATGAGTGGGATTAGAGTGTGTGACATTAAATTCACAGACACACACAAAAATCAACAAAAAGTTAAAAAAGAAAGAAAGAAAAAAGAATGGCCAATACAGAGCCAGCAACAGGACAATGACTTGAAGAGTAAGTGGGAGACAGGACAGGACACCAGACAGGGCACACATCGCCAAGTGAAAAGGAGAGGCCGTGAGACAGGCACCAGGCTGAGAAAATCTCCATAGTCAGTTTCTATATCAGTGCAAAGAAGGAAATGAATGACAGGCCCCCTGTACAGTTATTGGCATCTTAAAAAACAAACAAAACAAAAAATTCTGTAATGCTGGGACTGCAGTGACCCAGGCAGGGCTTGCAAGATTCTACCTCAAAATTCTAAAATAAACAAAGTCAATCTTAAAGTATTGAGGATAGTTCCATTGTTAATCTTTATGCTAGTTGCTGGTTTTCATTCATTCATTCATTCATTCATTCATTCACTCATTCATTCATTCAAAAATAATAACAAAATAAAATACAATAAGATAAAACAAAGACTATCACATTGAAGTTGGACAACATAAACCAACAGAAGAAAAAGAGCCCAAGAGAAGGCTCAGGAATCGGACCCACCTGACACATAAAAACACTAAACTAAGTATAAGCAGGCCCTGGTGCAGCTCGGTCGGTGTAGACCCCGTGCATCCTGCTTCATCTCTTTGAGTTCTATGAGCTTTGTGCATGTTGGTTTAGAGGGCCCTGCATTTTTGATGTCCTCCATCCTCTCTGGCCCTTACACTCTTTCTGTCTCCTCTTTCTTGGGGGTTCCCAGAATTCTGAGGGAAAGACTTTGATGGAGACATCCCATTTAGGGTTGTGTTTTCCAAGATCTCACTCTTTGCTTAATGTCTGACTGTGGGTCATTGTATCTGTTCCCACCTGCTTCAGAAGGAAGCATCTTTGTAGACTGCTGAGCAATCCAACTACACAGGATGTCGTTACACGTCTTTTTCAAACTCTCTCTCTCTCTCTCTCTCTCTCTCTCTCTCTCTCTCTCGCTTCATAGAAAATCTGCCTTTGGGTATTGAGTTTGTAAGCATAAACAAAACGTTTCCTATCAAAACTTACTAAAATTGTTTAACTTCACACGTACATTAAGCAGTCTCTTCCAAGTGCCAGTGGCTGGCACAGAACCCGTCCACTTATCTAAGCACTTTGGCGACTCCTGTTCTTCACATCAAAGGGACAGTCATTGTAGGAGCTGTCGGGAGTCGCAGCATCAGTTCCATGTGTTGCAAACAAGGAACCAGACAGCAAACCTTTGGACTTGAGGAGTTAATTTTCAGCAATGCTCCTGTTTCAACTATTAAAAATCTCTTAACCCAACCTTCATCCAAATTCAATTTCACCTTTATTTAAACTTCTCATTACCCTAGTAAGCAGAGGTGACTAATAACAACTGTGATAGAAATCTGGGCCATGAGTATTTTAAGAGCCCATTAATTTTCATTTTAAAATGTGCGGTTGGTTACTTTTTGAGACGGGGTCTCTCTCACTCTGTCACCCTGGCTGACCTGGGTGAGACTTACTATGTATATCAGGTTGCCCTCATACTCACAGAAATCTACCTACTTCTGAGTGCCGTCATTAAAGGCATGCGCCCCGCCCCCCTCCCCAAGACAGGACCCATTCTGTAGCTCAGGCTGACCTGAAACTCAAAAGTCCTTGGGCAATCCTCCTGCTTCTGCTTCTACTGTACTAACAGTATAGGCCTGAGCCATTGTGCCCTACAAGAGCCCACTGACTCTATGAGGATAGCACACGTAACATCAGCAACCAGAAGGTCCACAGTGCTAATGGGTTAGCCCTATAATAAAATATTGAATGTTGGAGAAATACAACAACCAGCCAAGGTCATTTGATCAGTAAGTTAAGACAGCCTGCTTCACCTTAGTCACTGGAGATCCTCGGGCTACTGGGTCAGAACAAACCACTTATGAAAGTTAAATGAATTCTGACAACACCACTCCACACTCCGCAGGCAGAAAGCACCGCCAACTGTCATGCCAGAGCTATGAGATAATGGGGATTTCAAAATGTTTGTCCTAACTCAAAGACCAGCCAAGTTGTTCAGGATTACACCTCAGCATCCCAGAAACCAGACAGAACTCCAAGGTGCATTCTGCTGGGGCAGAGACAGAGACCTAGACAGGGTGACTTTTGATGCTCCTGACCCAGAGCTAACCCTGGGGGGTGGGGGTGGGGGCATGTTCCACAGGACTTTTGAGGTTTTCCTATGCAAGAGAGAGGGTTCTCGATTTAAAAAAGAAAAAAAAAAAAAAGCAGTGGAGAGCAAGCAGTAGACAACTGATCAGAACATGCACATCTATGTTAAAAAAAATAGATTCCTTCCCCATAATATTGTAAAATCTAGTTGGTCAAAACTGTGAATGCCGCCAGACTTAGAGAAAGAAAGGATGTTTGGTTAAAATGGAAATGCTGCCAGGGAGGCAAGAGCGATGCTTAAGTAAACTCATCAGAACAAAGACAAGCAGGTCCCCGAGCATGTTGGTGGCAGGTGCATGGCATGTATACCTCTTCACCCTCCGGGCGCCTGTGAGCACGTGCTGAGACAAAAACGAGCTTCCAGAAAGATGTAAAACTTGTTCATAGATTCAAAGATATAATATGGCAGATAAAATCCATTTTCATAGACAAACGCCAATGGTAAATTTGCTGGATTATTGCCACTGGGCTTGGAATGGACACAGGGAAAGGTGCTGATCTGTCAAAGTCCTCAGTGTGCAATCTCCGGGGACAAACCACTATCGGGTCTGAGGAGAGAACCCACTGTCGTCCTTTTCACAGATGCTTGGGATGATGGATTGCCCAGCCCTGGTGAGTAGTGTCTTCATCTGTGCTGCGGAGTTCCGCGACCCAGCTGCTAGCCCAGCCCGTCTGGCTCATCACTGGCTGCTCCGACCCTCACCCGCTCTCATCCGGCCACCTGCGCCACTGCTCTCCAGCGCGAGTTCCCGTTCTCACGGGCTTCGTTTCAGTCTCTTGTAATCCACTGGCTTTCTCTAGAATTTCCCAGGGCTGTCAGAGTCTCTCTGCTCTTATCCTTCCCAGTGTGCCTCCTCTACGGACTTTACTGGTGGCACTTTCCTCTGCGACCTGCTCCTAAAATTCCCCCTCAGAGTATTCCCAGAGACTCTCACCCGGGCTTCACTGGAGATGAAACCCCAGTTTGAAGTCCTAAAGGCCGAGTCTCAGGACACACGAACCTGCTCAGCTCGAACCCCAACCTTTCTGCCCTTCAGAACCGTTGCTTCCTCCATCAGCTAAGGAGTTCAGTAGCCTAGACTCCAGTCCAAAACTGCTCCGGCTGAGCACCCTAGGCCTCAGTTTCCTTGCAAAGCTATGGACTTCTAAAGATGCCGCCAGCACCGCCACCCCAGCAGGCAAGACCCGAGCCCTTTTGGCTAACTGACCTCGGTGGCTCTGTCTACCCCTACTGGCTCTTGTGCACAACATTTGATTTCACCGTTTTTTCTGTATGTATCGGCAGGGGTGGGGCTGTTTATTTTTTTTAAGCATATGTAAGTACTGAATAAGCACGGACCTGCCCCAAACCTAAGAAATTCAAAGGCACGTAGACCTTTCCAGCTCGAATGGCTTCCCAGACAGAATCCACTAGGCACAGACTTGAAGACTGAGCCTCTCACAATCCACCTTTTCCCAGTGCAGGAGAGCGCTCTAACCCGAGTTCCGAACCGCCACGCCCCAACTTAGACACCCACCTCTAGGCGCCAATTCCGAGCGCGCAGTCCTCCGGCTCCGCTCCAGCGTGGTGCGGCTGCCGCCTGCTGCTCCCGAAGTCCAGGGAAAGAAGAGGCACAGCCCCAACCCGGGGCTAGCGCATCTGCCAAGAGCAGCAGCCTCTGGGCTCGCCTGGCACCCGGGAGCCCCGCCCACCCATCCGGGACCGCCCCACTCCAGACCGGTGGTCCGCCCTCCTTTTTCATTGCTCCTCCCTATCCATCCATACCTCCTCTTGGTAGCTGGAACAGAACATAAGCCCTAAGAAATGGATGAATGGGGCTGGAGAGATGGCTCAGCAGTTAAGAGCACTGACTGCTCTTCCAAAGGTCCTGAGTTCAATTCCTAGCAACCACATCCATAGCTCACAACCATCTGTAATGGGATCCAAAACCCTCTTCTGGGGTGTCGGAAGGCTGCTATCATATACATAAAATAAATTAAAAAATCTTTTAAAAAAATGGATGAACGTATGTATGTATGCCTGCGTGAATGGAGAAACTGAAGTGGTGGGAGAAGTGGCAAGAGAATGTTTGGAGGAGAAAGCCATGACTGGCCCCTGGGTAAGAGAGGGCTGGGAAAGTGTTTCTTGGTTGTAATAAGAGTTTAATGTGGTCCAAAGGCTGATATACGGGTAGAAAGGTTCCGGGAAATCTTTGGCTGCTGTGTCGGTTGGTAACTTCTTGGTGTCAAAGCGTCTGTTAACAATGCCACAGTTGGGGGAGGAAGCGGCTCACGCTCAGGGTTTGGCTCCTTTAGGCAGGTGGCCAGCCATCCCTCATTTCAGAGAGGTCTGAAATTTCAGTCTGTCATCCCCTCCCCCTCCATGAATATTTAAATAATGTTAATGACCCTTTGAGAACCGACCAGTCTAGAAGTCCTTAGAGAGGACACCAATATACCCATAAAATGGCCCACACAGAAAACAGCATTTTCAAAAAGCAAGCTATTGTGCAGTCTTACTCGGCTTTACAGCAAGTTGTCGGCAGAGGAAAAATCACATAAAGTGGAGCCAGATTCCACTTTTCACTAGGAAAGTGTTTCTCCAGTGATCCACAGCCATCCAAGTCTGATTCCTCTGCAGTCCCTGGGGCTTTCCCAGTTCTCCCAGCCATCCCCTCCCCCACCCACAAACACTGGGCCCAGGGCTCAACTTCTTAAAGTCTGTTTGAATGACAAACACAGCCGGGGGGAAAAGTAAATGCTCCAGCCTGATTTCATTTCCCTAACTTTCTTTGTATCGGAAATCTGGGACCTCCAGAGGTTAGGGAAGTGAAATCAGGCTGGGATTTCCCTGAAAGCTATCTTCATTTAAGAACTAGGGAACCAGACCTCCTGTGAGAAGGGCTTTCTCCTGTCTGAACACTTCCCTAACGCTGACTCAGGGAACACGATAAAGTCTTCCAAGGAAACTTTGATAGGTTATTTCTCCACTGCCAATGAAATGAGTCAATTTAAACCAGATTAGCTTACGTTAAAGGCAGAATTATTGATATTGAGTTTGAGGCTGACCTGGTCTACAGAGTGAGTTCCAGGACAGCCAGGACTACACAGAGAAACCCTGTCTTGAAAAAACAACAACAACAACAAAAAGGCAGGATTGCTTTCAGGTGGGTGAGTTTACTGGTCCCAAGGACCAAGGTCAGGGAAGTCACCATGGGGGAAGGGAGAATAGTGGAGGAAGAGAGAAAGGAGCAGAGACAGAGAGAAGGGACCAAAATGTCTGGATTATATAGGGAAGGGCCTCTGGGAGAAAGGCAGCCCAGCCCCTGGGCTGGAAGGTTCAGGGTTGGGTGCAGGGTATGCCAGGTAGGGACTGAGGGATGCAGGGAGAACCTGGAAGCCAGGTCTGCCTTGGTATGAAAAATAGGTGCCTCAATCTCTTGTCTTGCATCTGAAACCAAACAAACTTCTTCCTTGGCCCTCAGTCTGGCTTCCTTCCCTTAGCATTTAGAGATTGTCTAGTACGACATTTTGGTTTGCTTTGTTTGCTTGGGCTCTTTTGACTCTCATTCTATAGTCCTGGCTGGTCTGAAGGGGCCACTATGCCGGCCTTTCACCATTGGTTTTTTATTTTTTTATTTTTTTTATTTTTTAGACATTATTGGATTTCAGTAGAATCTATCATTGGCTAGCATAAATATCTCCTTTCCTGCCTCCTTTCCCTCTTCCTCCACCTCCCTCCTTTCTTCTTCCTCCCTCCCTAGTCTATAATCTCAGCCCTTGAGAGGCAAAGGCTATCACTGCTATCACTTAGATACCAACCTGGAGAGTTCTGGGCTATCCTGGGCTACAATCTGGTGCATTCTGAGCTAACCTGAGGTACAGTGTGAGATCTTATCTCAAAAAAGAAAAGAAAAGAAAGAACAGAAAAAGAAAAAAAGATATTGGGTGCCCTACATCCTGAACTATTTTGAATACATCAGTATCACATGACAATGCTCCCTGCAAGGAATACACTTCGGAAGGTGTATATTTTATGGCCCACCAACTAGACAAAGAAGGCTTCCAGAATCAAAGCAGAGATGATACTCTATACACACCTCACCTTGGCAAGTATTCCATCATCTCCCTCTCCTTGTATAGGCCTAAATTAGTGTAAGCATAAAAGTTACTAAGGAAATTTGTTTCATTACTAGTCAGTGGTGGCCCACACGTTAAATCTGAGCACTTGTGATGCTGAGGGAGGAGACTGCTCTGTGAGTTCTGATCTACTGAGGGAGTTCCAGGATAGCCAGGACTACACAGAGAAACTCTGTGGGGGGGGGGGGGGAGAGAGAGAGAGAGAGAGAGAGAGAGAGAGAGAGAGAGAGAGAGATTTGCTTCATCATTAGAATTGAGTAAATGCTGAATTCTTTTCCAAAGTAATGTCAATGTTCTATTTAATTTGAAAGTTTATAGCATTCTATAGAAAAAAAAAAAAAACCCGTTGGTAACATTGCCAGGAAAAAAGCTTGTTCAGTGCATGCTGATATCGGAAAACTTTTCTGTTACTTTTCAAAATATTGAAGAAGTAACCATGCTTAAACTTCTTTTGGTATTGTTTAATGTGTGTGTATGTGTGCACTCCCCACAAGTCTCTCTCTTGAGAGCTGATGCATGGTGCAATCTTTTTGTAGCACACTTTGGCCCTGGTCCACCAAAGTACCTTCTGCTGCTTAATCTAACATGTATAACCATCTGGATCCCAGGGACCCAACTCAGATCATCCAGCTTTACCCACAAAGCCATCTTACACGGTTCCTTACAAAATTTAATCAGAGTCTCCTGTATCTTGAGCTGGTTTTTGTTTGGTTGGTTTAGGGGTGGTGCTGAGTTTTTAAAGTCTTTCTGTGTATCTCTTGGCTTTCCTGGAACTCACTATGTAGACCAGGCTGTCCTCAAAGTTACAGCAGTCCACCTGTAACTGCCTGCCCAGTGATGAGATTAAAGGTGTGTGCCATCATGACCAGCTCAGGCTGGTCTTAAATTCCCTATGTAATGGAAAACCTTTAAAACCTTTTAAATTGTGTTTGTTTGTTTTTTTAACTCCATGTGTGTGTGTGTGTGCATGAGCACACGCATGAGTGGGCAGAAGCCAGAGAGGTCAACCCTGAATGTCATTCCAAGCAGGCTAGTCTGGCCAGCCAGAGGACCTCAGTGACCTTCCTGTCCATTGCTCCCAAGTATGCCCCACCATGCCTGGCTTTCGTATGTGGGTTCTGGGGATCAAACTAAGGTCCTCTCGCTTGCACGGAGCGCACTTTACTGGCTAAGCTATGCCCCCAACTCCGGAATAACAGTTACTAAAGCTGAGCAGTTTACAAACAAGCACATCTCCTCTCCTAGATGTGCTTCAGCAGCCTCTTAGAGAAAATAAACGGCTCCTACTCCCATGGACGACACATAACCGGAAGGAATAAAAGTTACCTGCTTGTGAAAGCCCTCATTGTCCAGGACAGACAGCCCTCAATGGTGAACAGCCTTCCACAGGGTTTTGCTTTGTTTTAGGGAGAAGTGAGATTTCTTTTATTATCAGCTAGGTGAACATTTTTCTCTTATGACACCTCTTCTCTGCTGTTGGTGCACTTAAACAACGCCTTGGACAGGAGTGGCCATCCAGGGACTCAAGAAGTAAGACATAGGATGAAAGTGACGGACAAGCTGTCAGACTAGGTACGGGCCGTTAGTATTCTGTCTAAACTCCACTTCCACAGTTACCTGGCAACAGCCAGGTAGGCCTGGCCCGATATAAAAGGGGCTGCTAGCCCCCTCCTCTCTCTCTTGATCTCTTGATCTCTTGCCTCTAGCTTCTCTCTGTCCCCTCCCCCCTCCCCCTTCCCTTCCCCCTCTCTCCACGTGGTCATGGCCTGCCTCTACCTCTACCTCTCTCTCTCTCTCTCCCTCTCTCTCTCTCTCTCTCTCTCTGCCTCTACTACCCTCCTGGCTCCCCTCCTCATGCCCTGAATAAACTCTATTCTATACTATACCAGTGTGTGACTGGTCCCTCAGGGGGAAGAGATGCTTCTGCACAGGCCCCACTGAGACATCCCCTTCCCCCATACCTCTCCACACACCCACAGAACATACTCTCTTTATCTCTCTATCTTTTTATAAACACATCACAGGCCAACAGAACCTCTCCTCCCCTTCCTTCAAACTGAGCAAAATGAACTAAGCCATGGAAATGAACAGATGCCCCAAGCTCAGGGAAAAGACGTTTAAGAAGTCATGAGATCAGCCATGTAACCGTGGTGGCAAACGCCTTTAATCCCAGAGACAGGCTGCTCTCTGAGTTCGAGAGCAACAGAGTAAGTTCCAGAACAGTTGGGACTACACAGAGAAACCCTGTCATAAAAAACAAAATCAAACTAACTAACAAACAAATAGACCTGAGATTGTCCCAGAAAGCTGATCTGAAAATCCAACAGGCCAAGACTGTCCACAATGAAAGAATATTTACCATCTCATCCTTCTAACAAGGGCTGAGATGAAAGTATTAGCTGGGGGTTTCCTTTCTCAGCACCGGATGGTTTCCTAGTAAATCTGAGGTCAGCTGGGTGCTACATAGTGAAACCCTGCTGCTCCATCACCACCA